GAATTTATTTAATTATATAATTCATTGTTCTCGATATATTTAATTAAACCAATTAACTTAATGGACAATTAAATTAATTTAAATAAAAAAGAGTCTACCGTTTACTTTTAGTAAATAATAATATAAAATTGTTAGTAAAATTATATTAATATAAAATTAATTATATATTTGCATGTATATCTGTTGAATACGCGTGGAGAAAAAGAGCTTATTTTGTTAGATTGGGGACAATGAATTATATAATTAAAAATCAAAATGTTCTGAGTTTTTGATCAAAATCATCCTTCAACTGAATCAAAATTTCTCAGACGCTTATCTTTTTTTTTAAATATTGAAATATATTTCCTTCATATCTATGCTATGTATTCATATATTGAGCTTTCTGACAAATAGACGAGAAATTTCTTTGTAATTTAATCTGATACAAGACGTTTCTATAATTTGATTTTTCATCACTTGCAAAATTCGAGATACTCACATACGTGGGAGGTTCCTCAGAACTGACAACTGGTCTCTCTTGCACCCGCTAAGATCCGGGACCTCTGCGGGGTCGTCCCTCTTCCCGAATCCGATCGCTGAGGCAATGTAGCGTCGAGGATTTATTCTGTTGTCGCGACTCGCCCTCAGTTGCACTCGGTGCTTGAAGAAATGGGGGTAATCGCGATTCCTGGACGCCACAGTGGACTTCCAAGCTACGATAAACCCCGCGACGAACACCAACGCTAACACCGCTCGCATGGTTTTCCTGACGCAAAAAGAGAGAGACATATCGAACGCAATGATGAACGTTCAGTATGATTCATAATGTGTAATTACATAATATATTACAATTACGCAAAGAATTAACGATCTTTCTTTGCGTAAAAGTTTGCGTATGTACGTTATGATCGATCGAGCCATCGATCTTGCGTATTTTTTAATTTTCTACAATATAAATTTCTTACGAGGTCTTGCCAGAATGTCGGAACATTTATAGAATTAATCTACACAGACATCATTGCGCAGATAATCGTATCTTAATTACAATTTATACTTACTGCGCACACAAGAAATATTAATATTTACGCATATTTAATGCATTTTTAATTTGCCTAAATTCTAAAATTTATCAATATACACGCGTGACGGAAGTAAAATGACAACTTCTGTTTTCGCTTAGAATATTCCTTGTTAAAAATTCCAAGTATTAAATTGATGATAAAAGAAATAGATTATTGCGTTGGAATTTATCAATATGCACTGGCGAAAGTAAAACTACAACTTCTGTTTCCGCTTAGAGAACTGTTTTTTTAAATTAAAAATAAAACACCTAAGTATTAGATTATCAATGACAAAGTATAAAGAAGATAGATTATTGCGTCGAATAAGTAAAAACAGATGCGAAAAGAACATCTTCTATAGTGTAACAGTGAGTTTCAGAGAGTATCTAAATTTCAACACGCTTCTTACAAACTTTTCTCAACATATACAATTCTTTCATGTAATCTTTAAGATAATAATTTAATTCGATCGATGATTTTGCTTTCTAGATTTTAATTGAAATTTTAAAATTTTCAAAACAACTGCGGTTTGCCGCTAGTCGTCGCGGTCAGTGCGACAAAAATCGTCTGTGATGTACGTGAATCGGGAATAGACGTATCGAAAACTAATTTAGATGAAATTAGATTTCGGTATGTTTCTTCCCGCCGATTGCGAAACGGTCGAAATAAAATTTTAGCGAGATATACGCGCTGTATACACAACCGGTCACCTTTCGTTGAATTGCATCGACATTTCTCTCTTTCTCTCTGGGATCACCAAATTCTCTCTCTGGTGAATCCAGAGAGAAAGAGAGAAACGATTGATTCGATTCGTAAGTGCGAGGACTGGGCTCGGTGACTATTCCGCGTCGCTTTGTACTGTGTAGCCGCCAACGCTCGGCGTCGCGGCTGCTGGCGACGCCGTTCGCAGCCGCCGCCCGGGCGTTAATCTCTTTAATGCGTCCGGCCAATCGACATTTTATCGTCGCATTGAAATCTCTGCCGACGGGATGGCCAGCCGCAATTTCGCACGCGATAGATATACGGAGAGATGTGTACGAGGTCGACGGAGATGCGCAAGGAGACGCCACCGCCGCCGTCGTTTATGCATCGTTAAGCCGCCGATGCGTCGTCTAGCCGCCGATGGGTATGCGGATTTCCTTGCAGCACATAACGATCCCTCTCGCGAGGACACTTTTTATGATGACGATGCCACGCCCACGCTTTTTACATAATTTACATTTACGTGAACTACGCTCGCCGTACGTATGGCAATTTTTTTCCTTGCGATGCGAGCGTTAGATCTGAACCGATAATAAATTAAAACAGCAGAGGCATAATTAAATTGCGCAATATAAAACTTTAATTTCCTGAATGGCCGAAATTACGGAGTTCAATTACGAATACTGGAAATTTTTCTGAAATGTTGATAAAAATATCGAGGCGCCCACTGACAAAAATCTCTTTCCTTTTTTCTTATCTTTTTATTTACACAAAATATATATACATCTTTACAACGTAGGAATATATGTAATAATATGTATGATCATTTATAATATGCAATATTATTTCACGAGTTTCCGATGCAGCGTCATTTTGTCATTTTGACGAGGGAGTGATATAAAATGACGACGGGTATTTCTTTAAGAATAAGAGAACGCGGAATGCCAGAATATTTAACGAAAAGCTCCAAGAAATGGAGATTGGTAGCTCCTTTAGTTTCTGCATTTCCTCCCGCTTTCAAACTGAAAAAAAAAAAAAAAGAATTCTCGTTAGTAATACCCTGTTTCAAACGATGTTGTCACGTCTATGACTTAAGATTATAAAATTATTCCTTACCTCTCCACGGTGATAAACGACAGGACGTACATACAAAGATATTTCACGTAACGATTCATCACAGAAACGTGGAATTGACGAAGAATCGTTTGTATTCCTAAGGCAAATACCACAGCGTCAACGGAATCCTGATATCTCTTGCTCAACAGACTTGCTGCGACAAATAAGTAAAATGTTTGCTATGTCATTTAATTCTATTGTAAAATATAAATGCATGTGTATACGATATTATTATACCTGTATTTTTGCAGTAGAATAATTTATTCAATTGCGACACCGTCAGTAGGAAAATAATAATAGCTATGTTATTACTCTTTGGTGGTTTGATATAAACTTTGTTGTGCGGATTGCTGATGCCAGCCCAATCCAGACGCACGCTAAGTTCGTGAAGTAATTCACTTCTCTCCGGCTCGCTCTCGTATAGAAAATTTGATTCTAAAGGAAATAAGTAAATTTTTCAGCGTTTTAAAATTTTATATTAATGTTCTTCCAGTGGAGAGAGTAAATCTAATTATAAGTAACGTATTATTAGTTAAGAAAAAAATTTTGTTACTATATGACATGTTATTTTGAGTAATGGTTATAGTAATTTATAGTCACTTTAATATTGTTACAATAAAATTATTAAAATCAAATGTAAAAATGGAGGTGACTCATATTTGAAGCAAGCTTATATCGACATACTATAAGAAG